CTCTATGCTCTGCTTCCTGGATGCTGTGAGTTGAGCACCTTTCCTATGCCATGCCCCTCCACCATGATGTTTCTGTTTTGGAGCCAGTTAGCCATGAACAAAACCTCATAAATCATGAGCCAAACATAAACTTCCCCTCCTATAAGTTGTGGTTGTCAGGTATTTTTTCCCAGCAATCAAAGGCATACCAATACAAATATACTGTTCTACATAAGCCCAAGTTATTCATTAGCCCTTTGAGTTATTCAGCACTGAGTATGCTAATGTGTACATGGAAATGACAAGTCTGTGTTTTGTTAAAATAATATTTTTCCATTCCATTCTGAAGTCAAGGGCCAAACAGAGGAATGTTTTGAAAGCTCTAAGAATTGAGAGTCTACTGGAGGCATCATAGTTTTTCTTTCTTTAATCAAACGCACAGCAACTTAGCACCTCAATAAGACCCCATTTCAAAAAACAAAAAAAATAAAGGGCTGGGACTATAGGTCAGTGTGAAGATCCTGGGGTTCAATCCCCAGTACACAAAAAATTTTAATTCAAATTTTAATTTTCATGATATATTGAATTTATCCCAAAATTTAGAAGGATCATAATAAAGCATACCAATAGACACTGAAACTCAAATCAACATCTTTTATTGTTTGATATTATCTGACTCTTTTGGAACCGAAGTGGGAAACTTATCCAAAGAAAAAAGTCAAAGAAGTCAATATATAACAAAGTTATAGATGAAAGGGAAAGTGATGTTAGTTTGCTAGGTGATAAGGTGAGATTGCAGACTGAAGGGCAAAATGAACTGAGAAAAGGAGTTATGTATAAGAAAAAATCTATTTTAAAATTAGAAGATGACAGGCATTTCAGAAGTTCAGAAATAGAATTTGAATATTTTGAAAATGGCAAGGAATCAAATCCAACTGAACACTGAGATTGGATTTATCTAAATAATTGTATAAGCATCAAGCAATACTAATAAAATATAAAAGGAAACATATACACAGGGAATCGTACCCATAACTTCATCTAAAAATTGACTGAGCATAGCACCTTCTGTATGCTTGTTAATAAAAGACTGAAAATATTATCTCTCCTTTTATCTTTCAAGCATGTCGGCTTTATTATAGAAACTAATCCTGGTTTTGTTCCAGGTCAGAGTTCACATACTTACATATTGTTTGTTTGTATCGGGATTGAACTCTGTTCCTTGTGCTTGCAAGGCGGGTGGCAGAAGCACTGAGCTAAATCCCCAGCCCAGCATATTGCGTTTTATGTGGATGGCAGTGCCCACTTCTTAAGAATATCTATAACCCACTCCTACTCACTCCCACCTTTCAGAGATCCTAGCAAGGGAGGAAGAGGAAATGTTCTCTTACAAAAGAAGGGTGAAAAACATTCCTCCTGGAAAGGTCAGTCATATCTCAAAGGAGCTGATTCTTCTAAAATTGAAAAGTGTAGCCCTCACCTTCAAATCTGTTCCTATTCCAGCCTAGCCCATCTCTACACAAGGCATTTCTATCTATTCACTGGTTCTCATTAGAAACCTGGCATTCATTTGTGATCTCTTTCTCTCTCTCACCTCCATGCCAATGCAAAAGTCCTAACTATTCTGCCACAAAAGTATCTCAGAGCTGCCCATTTTGTTCCATCTCCACTGCTACTGTTGGTCTATGAACTCATGCATATGTTGAGGCTCCACATAGTCTTGCTTGGTGGCCCTGAATACCAGTCCAAGCCATCCTATTTTAATTAACTCCTCCCTGTTGTCACATCCTCTCTCACTCCTACTCCATTCAATTTCTATGCTACAGAGCATGTATGTGTGTGTGTGTGTGTGTGTGTGTGTGTGTGTGTGTGTGTGTTACCCTGGGAACTTAACTCAGAGCCTTTGAGCTGAGCTGCATCTGTAGTCCTTTTTGTTTGTTTGGTTTTGGGATTTTTTTTTTTTAAATACAGGGACTTACTCAATTTCATTGTTTCCCAGGCTAGGCTTAAACTTGAGATCCCTTTATATCAGCTTCCCAGCATGGTGGGTACTTTTCATAAATCACCAGTTTGATCACTTCATCCCCTACTTAAAAACCTTCAATGGCTTTCCACTGCCACTGGGTAGAACCTGTGACTAAGCCAACATGATTCTGTATGATCTGCTCCTAGCTCCCACTTCATGCTTATTGGCAACAATTCCCCATTAGCCTGATTTTTAGCCATACTACTTTTGCTTCCTGAAATTTGCCAAGCTTCCCCTAGCCCCTACAACAACTTAGTTAATTTCTCCTCTTTCTTCAGGTCTCAATTTAAATGTCACTTCTTTTGGGAAGACATTCCTAAATCCATAATCTAAAGCAGACTGCCTCGTAGCACTCTTTAATTATCCTTTACATATCTGTAATTATATATTCACTAGGATTTGTTTAATAGTGTATCTCTTTCCCCACGATATAAATGTAAGCTCCACAAGAGCAGGTATGGAGCCTGACTTAGCCCAGTGTCTTTCATTTGTCCAAGTTTTTATTTAACAAATTTATCATATATTATATATTATATATATATAATTATATAGTACATATATAGTAGATTCTAGGTATACAGTGCACAATCAAATGTGGTCCCTGCTTTTATGAGAAAACAACCAATTAATAAACCAGCAAGCAGACAAGATGACTACAAATTGTATTATATGCCAAGACCCAGACTATGAGATTCTCAAAAGCAAGGATCTCTGTAATGTTCATTAAGGAATCCCAAGCATGTAATTTAGAATAAGGCTAAGTAGTTTACTGTATTCATGTAAAGTTCAAAATAGGTGTTCCTAATCAGTGCATGAGTCTCCTCTAAGAGTAATCGAGACCTAGATTCTTAAATTATGTTTCTGTTACCTGTAGTATATGGCAGAACATAGAAGGGAAAAAAGATCGTGGGACATAGCTTGGGGAAGTTTTTGTTGTTGTTTGTTTTAATGGGCAAAACCTAAAGGCTACATCCAACTGCTGGGGAGGTTGGGGAATGTTAATGCAAGTTCATATCAAAGAAGAAGCATAAGTGGACTTGGTGATCTGACAGTATTTTCAATAATACCTGACACATTATGAAAACAAGGAAAAATTAGAAATTGAGTTTGTTCTCAAAAAGCATATAATCTATTAGTGTACATGGAAATCACTACTATGTTTGCATAGGAATATAATGAATTTTAAATTTCTAAGAACCTAGAGGTAGTTTTTAAAGCAAAATTAATTTATAGATTTCTTTTGCAGGACAATCATGTTTCAAAAATTAACCTACTTGTCCATATTAATTCTGGGTCACCTTCAAGTTTTTCATTTTTATTTCCTATGGCTTTTTGCTTGTTCCAAATCTTGACATATTATAGCTTCTACATCTGTGCATTTGGATGACTGCATTAGGTCAAGTCCACAGTTAAAGCAATCTAGGCCGGGCGTAGTGACACACGCCTGTAATCCCGGTACTCGGGAAGCTGAGGCAGGAGGATCGCTGTGAATTCGAGACCAGACTGGGCTACATAGTGAATTCCAGGTCAGTCTTAACTACATAGTGAGCAAAAAAAAAGCAATCTAATGGAAAAAGAACAATGAAGATCTAACAATTAAAGATCCTGTGTTGATGGATCCATTCAGCAGACTGGAATTTGGAGCAGTGCTCCTAGACCACTATATAAATTGTCTGCATATATAGTATTCTTTATCATTTTTTAAAGAATATGGCAGAAATTTGAATTCCTCTTGATACTAAAACAGACATATAATCACGTGTTAATGTGTTTGTACTTACTTTTTTTTTTTAACCTAAAACTTTTTTTTTTGAATAGAGAAACACAGTTCAAGGGATCTCAGTCAGAAGTACACATCTTTTTTCTCCTGCAAAGCCATTTTTTTTCGTTTTTTCAATTTAAAAAATTCATCACGAAGAGTTGGTACACGCACATAACACATCTTAACTCTTATGTCCCCTTCCATTTTGCTCACTCTCCTCCCTCCTTTCATCTCTTGGTCCTCTATGATTTTGCAAAAAGATCTGTTTCCTATTAACTATTTTTTATTTTGCTCTTCTATTTATACTTTGGGTTTCTCAGATACGAGAAGCAATGAGATATTTAAGTTTGGGTGTCTGATTTATGTAACTCCACATTATGGTCTCAAAGTGCATACATTTTCCTACACATGACTCAAATTTAAAAGCATAAACTTTAACTTCAGAGTCATTTCACAAAGAATCTGAAATTTAGATTTTATGTTGAGTTTATCTACAGCGAGGAGACATTTCTGAATCCTTAACGGATTTGTAGCTTACTTTTCCCAAGAGAGAATCCTCCCCCGGGTAGTCGAGGACATTGTCCTGCACGAGGAAATTCGTGCGCCTAGGAACGGAATTTAAGAGTCCAGCGCGGCAGGTGGAAACCCAGCGTGGTTGAAAATGAGCGATGCTGTTGTGTCTGTGACCCTTGGTACTCAAAGATTGCTCTCACCGACAGGAACGCCAAAAAGTCAGAGAAGCAGGCGTAGAGTAGCCAGGAAGTCCTATATATCCGGTTGGAATAGAGGCAGGACCAGGGGGCTGGTCCCGCTGCTG